CTGTGTAGCCCATCAGGTGAAGTCCATGTGTATAGTCGCTGTTTGTGTTTTTGTAAGAGGCATTTGCAGTGAATAAATCACTGATTGTACAAAATCCAATCATTCAATTTCCAGCCTCATTTCTATCACCAACCAAGTCCATCATTTCTGACTACCTGTCACTCTTTCTTTCTAACTTTTCCATCCCAGTCACCAATCAGTATCAATGCATCTTGACTGCATGTCTGATCAATTTCAGATTGAAATTTCTTAATTTTTGGCTTTAGGTGTTGGTGTGTTTATTTGAATAATATTTGTATTAACAGGTCTTCCTTGTAAACATATAGATAATGTCCAATCATAGCAATGTACTTCAGGATGCATCTTGAAGTGGTCTTTTTTTACTATAAACTTAACATCATCATTTCCTTAATTTTTCATTCTAAGTACAGTAGATCATCTGATTATCTGACTCAAAGTTGATACGTCAGTCCATCTCAGCTCCTAATGCCTAGAGTGTCAATCTTTAGGAGTTGCATTTCCCTCCTGACAACTTCTAAATTTCCTAGATTCAACCTCTGTACCTTCCACATTTCAATTCTTAATGGACCTTTGCAAGCTGTTTCATCTCCTATTTGAATGTTTTCCAATCTGAGGGTTCTATTTCCTGTGCTATATCTGTGTTCCTCTATTGTTTATAGGGCTTTCTAAGGCCTATTGTTTCAGAAGTGGGTGGCCAATCCTGCTTTCCGGTCTGTCTTACTCTGGAAGCTCTGCTGAAACCTGTCCCCTGTGCACGACTCTGCTGATATCTGGAACTGGAGGAACACAGCTTCCAGCATCACAGCCACTTGCAGGTCACCTCAGTACAGCAGACTGACAGACAAAAGATGAACTCATATTAGCAAATGTAAACATTCCCATACACACTTAAACTATAAAATAAGCAACAACATTCAGACCACTCCCCTAATACAAGAAACTGACAGATAAGATGGCAATTTTCCCCAAATTGATCTACATATTCAAGACAATCTCTATCAAAAATCCCAGCTGCCTTTGCAGAAATGGACAAAGCTCTAAAGAGATAAAGAAAGCCCAAGAACATTATACTTAACGTGGTTTCAAAGATTAGTAAACAACTTTAAAAAAATCATAAAATCCATCTGACATAGGCTGGTGGAGCTCCTGAGACCATGGCCCTCAGAAAGAAGTCAAGCCTGAGACACAAGCCAATTCTTGGGCCAATAGCAGACAGGTCTGTAAGGTGAACAACAGCAGAGGGAGGCACCACCCACCCTAAGGGACAAACAGGCAGGACCCGCCACATGCCCTAAGTGCTCAGAAGGTCTAGGCTGCCCTTTGAGAGTCTGGACTCCGCTTAGTGGGATGTAAGAAGATCCCCTTACCTGACCCACAGTTTCTAGTGAGCATCCCTGGGCAGACACACTGCACTAACAGCTGATCCCACTGCTAGAAGAGGAAGCAGTGTGTGTGGCCTTCCTCTCCCCCATACTCTGCCTGATACAAAACTACAACTTTCTGTATGATTCCTTCTAAACAAGTCTCCACACATGAAGATGGGCTTGGAACCTTGAAGCACAGATGTCCATTGCAGCCTATCCAAGAAAAACATCCTAGGTAGCCCTGTACCTATTGAAAGGAAAAACTGTTTAAAAGCAGCATATGATTAGGCATTATATGTATAAAAGTCCAGAATAAAAGGTGCCTTGCAAAGTGAACTGGGGGAAGGGAGAGAGGGAGAGAGGGAGGGAGGCAATTGTGCAACAATGAATGAATGAAAATTTAACTGTTCTGTAAACTTTCATTAAAATAACAATTTAAAGAAAAGATAGAAACTGAATGATTAAAAACTTCCTGAAAAAGAAGCCTCCAGGAATGCAGTTTCGTGAATTCTACTAAAGATTTAAGGAAGAAATAACACTTCACAAACATCCAGAAACTAAACTCACCTAATAAGCTGTTGCTGTTAGGTGCTATTGAGTCAAGAACCACCCATAGCGACACTATGAACAGCTCTGAACCCTGTTCTATCCTATGCCATCTTTACAATCTGTGACACACGTGGGCCCATCGCCAACTCATTTCATGAAGCATCTTTTTCTCCTTCTCTGACCCTCCACCTTTCCAAGGCCTAGCCAATCCTAGCAAAGCACCTAAAGTACATGAGATAAAGCTTTACCATCCTTATCTCTAAGAAGCACTCTGGTTGCAGTTTAGCATTACTGGCAAACGTGACAAATAAGTGTAGACAAAAACTCTGGGAAGAGGTGTAAGAATTTTCATCAAGCCACTACAGGCCACTTCCAGCACTGTTTGTTATTATTAGGTACTCTCCATTTGACTTCAACTCATGGTAAACTTATGCACCAAACCCTGCCCAATTCTGCATCATCCTCACGGCCCCTGCTCCGAGATCTGTAATCACTGTATCAATCCACGTCACTGAAGATCTTCTCCTTTGTTGACTCTTTACTTTTCCAAATATAGTGTTCCAAGGGCCGATCCCTCCTAAAAACATGCCTGAAGTATGTGATGTGACATTTCACCATCCTTGCCTCAAGAGAGCACTCTGGATGCACCTCTTCTAAGACAGATTTTTGGCAGTCCAAAGATATTTCTTTCCAACATGTTGTTGTTGTTGTTGTGTATAGCTGAGTCAAAACAAACCCAGAGCTGACTGCCACTGGGTTTCCAGAAGCAGTAAATCTCACATATGCAGAGTACCTGTTTTTCTCCTGCAAAGTAGCTAGCAGATTTGAATAATGTATCTTTGCTTTGCCAGTGTAATTTCTTATCATGAACATATGACCAAGAGGCCATGATGGTGAAGGAGGATGTTCAAGCTGCTCGGAAGGAATTGGCAAAAAACAAGGCTGCAGGAATTAATGGTTGACGTATTTCAGCAAACAGATGCTGCCCTGGACACACTCACCAGGTTATGCCAAGAAATCTGGAGGACAATTATGTAGCTAACTGGCTGGAAGAGATCTATTTTTATTCCTATTCCAAAAAAAGGTGTTCCAATAGAGTGTGGAAATTATTAAACAATATCATATACAAACAAGCTGCTGCTGAGAATTATCCAAAAATGACTGGAGCAGTAGCGCATGTGCAGAGAACAGATGCGCAGCTGGCTTTAGAAGAGGACGTGGCCCTAGGGACATCACACCCAATATTAGATGGATCTTGGCCAAAAGCAGAGAGTAGCAGAGGAATGTCTGTGTTTCTTGACTATGAAAATGGATTTGACTGTGTGGATCACAACAAATTGTGTCTAATCTTGAGAAAAATGGGAATTCCAGAAAACTTAATTGTGTACATGTGAAACTTATACGTGGACCAGAACAGAACAGAGCAGGGGAATACTGCATAGTTTAGGATCAGGATAGGTGGGCATCAGGGATGTATCCTATCTCCATACCTTTTCAACCTATATGCAGAACAGATGATTTGGGAAGGTGGACTTTATGAGGAGGAATGAGGATTGGGGGAAGACTCATCAACAACCTGTATTATGTAGATCACACAACCTTACTTGCTGAAACTGAGGAGGACCTGAGGTGTTTTCTGCAGAAGGTCAAGGACTGTAGTCTTCAATATGGATTGAAGCTCAATATAGAAAAAAACAGAGTCTCATCACTGGGCCAATTGGTAGCTTCATGATAGACTGAGATTGTTAACAATTTTAGCTTGCTTGGTTCCACAATTAACATTCTTGGTTTCAGCAGTTAGGAAATAAAAAAAAAATTACATTAGGAAAATACCAGGGACCTCTCTAGAGTACTGAAGAACAACGATGTCAGTCTGGAGACTTGCACCTGGATACAGGTGACATGGTCTTCACAATTACTTGTTATGCATCTGAGAGCTGGACAATGACTAAGGATGATAGAAGGAGGATTGATGCCTTTGAGTTGTGGTGCTGGAAAGAGGGTGAAATCAAGCTGCTCCCTGGAGGCAAGGATTCTGAAACTCCATCTCACAAACGTTGGGCATGTACCAGGAGAGAACAGTTCTTGGAGAAAAGACATCAAGCTTGGAAGGGTGGAAGGACAATGCAGGAGAGGAAGACCCAGGATGAGATAGATTGACTCAGTGACTGGAGAAATGGGATCAGGTCTGTCAGAAACAATGAGATTGGTACAGGACAGGGCAGGGTTAATGTACACAGGGTCGCTATGAGTCTCAGGTGACCTGACAGCACACACCACCACCACAACCAGCCACCAGAGCTCCCTTTGCCAACATGTAGCTCATGAGTGGTAACTCATAGCCAACCTTGATCCTTAATGTGCATCCAAATGAAGTGAGTGCCATCTACAGGATGGCTAAGAAACAAAACCCAACAACGCTCAGGTCTAGTCTCCCATGCTGCCCAGATGGCTGCGGGCCCCCCAGCCTCAGAAAAGGCTCCCACTCCAGAAGACTTCCTTTCAGTAAATGCAAGGACAGTGGTGGCAAGTGACAGGCTTCTCGCCATCCAGGCAGGAGACCTGGGTTTGATTCCTGGCTGGTGTACCTCAAGCACAGCCTCCACTTGCCTATCAATGGGACCTGCATATGGCTGTGATGCTGGACAGGTCCCAGCAGTGCTTTCAGATGGAGGTGGACTAGGACGAAAGGCCTGGTCAGGTCTGAAAATCTGTCAATGAAACCTACAGAGCAGCAGCGTGACCAGCAGCATGCATCAGGCTGGCACCGGGCTGGCACGGGCTGGCACCAGGTGTGACCAGCAGCACCTGCTGAGCTGGCACAGGACCAGGCAATGAGGACAGCAGAAACACACTCACACCGTTCCACAGAGCAGGAGAGAACAGACACCCTGTCCCTTCCTAGTCTTGGCATCTGTGAGATGGCGTTACAGGAGTCTGCTGGCTTGGCCTGCAAGCTGAATGTGAACCAGCCCACAGAGCACAGCTCCTGACTCATTCCTCTCCAGGTGAGCTTGGCACTCATGCTTGACAAAGGTGATGCCCTCAGGGTGAGTGAGGCCTCACCTGTGGCTCAGGGGGCAGTGCACACTGCTGAACGATGTACTCCACCATCGCTTGGCCTCCAGGCTGCTCCAGGTAACCATGGTGGGCCATGGCACTGATCACCTGCACCATGGCCCGCTTCACCTGCCGAAACAAGGGGACAGAAAGGGCCTGAGGAAATTCCCAGTTTCCCCCATGTGCACCACTGGTTGCACTTGTAACTACCGGTATCTGCGCTCAGGCCATGGCCCAACACTATCAGAGCAGTTCTGTGTAGGCGTTGGATCTGTCCCCAGCCCTGCTCGGCACCACTGGGCCCAAGCACCCCTTTGAGCTCTCTGGCCCCTGGGTGAGTCCCTGAGCCAGCACACATGCTAGTTGTCTCTGTGCTACTGCTCACTGTCACAGGGTCCCTGCACCCTTCAGGTGAGGGCCCAACTGTCACTGCTGTCCAAACAGTCTCAGACAGTGTTACCCTGAGTGCCAGACTGTCCACCATGGCTTGGAACAGAAGCCCCTCCCCTGCAGGGTGACCTGATCAGGGCAGGGGACCACCTGACCTCCTAGGTCAGTGCCCTGACAAAGGCTGGAGGGCAGGCCTGGTGGCAGCCTTAAGGCTGGAGTGGCCCTGGGCCAGCACAAAAAGCTGACCTTGTCCCTGGTCCTCTGGTCAGCAGCATGGAAGCAGATGTAAGAACACCAGCTCCACTGCAGGCAGCACCCCTTCCCCTGTACCTCCCCTGCTCAAGCTCTGGGGGGTAGGCCTGGCCACCCCTTTCCCCCACCTGGCCCCTGCTACCTTGTTATTGGTGTCTTGTAAGGGCAGTCGCATGGAAGAAAGGATAAAAAGCTTCCGGACCTCCATCTGAGTGGCTGCAAGAGACCCCAGGGATGCCTTAGTCTGACAAGATGCCACTGGGCCAAGGGCCAGAGCTCCTCTACACACCACAGCCCAGGTGTACAGTCACCCAGGGACAATGTAGCCACCTCACAAGGTCCCTGCAGGGTAGCTGAAAGGATGCTTTCCTTGCATGCTGCCCCATGCCCTTGCAGGAACTATCTTGGGCTGAGGTAGAACTTTACCCAAAGAGCACTGCCCCAGGAGTCCTTCCATGGAGCACCAGCTGAGGAGCACCACCCAAGGAGCACCGGTCCAGAGTGCTGTCTGAGGAGTACCTTAGTGGAGCACTACCACAGCAGCAGCACCCTGGAGGTGGTCTCCAGCTATGTGGGCAGCACTGGCTGATGGGGGTGCCAGGGCTCTGGAACACCATCCCCATACTCGCCGTGTGGCACATCAGTGTCCCTGCACTCTCAAGTCCCCCAATTTCCAAGCTGCTTCCTCATCCCCAATGCCACATGTGCAGCCAAGCCTGCAGGCCGGGGAGGGACCACACACTTCTCTGCTTGGGTGGCACACCCTTTGGTATATGCCAGCTCATGACCACAGCTGATCCTTGATGGGCACAGAGGGGCCATCAGTAGCTTCACATGAGCATCACCCTCACCCCGACAAGAGATTCTAGAAACTAACAGGCCGACTCTCCAGAGGGAAGCAACAGTGTCATGAAAAGATCCAAGGGGAACACAACGTGGGAACGTTTTCTTTTCTAAGCAGAGCCCGTCCATGCTCTCAGCAGGCGCTGTGAGAGGCGGCGGCACTGGCCACAGACACTGGCCACGTGGAGCTGTCCACTGCCAGCAGGCAGCCCTCTGAACTGCTCCGATAACTCCTCACAAAGCTTTGAATCTTACAAAACTTTGCTGCCAACTCAGAGCAGAGTGCTGCTACTGCGTGCCACAAAGTGTCCCTCCGCGTACTTACCCGCCGAGTTGATGACATGTCTCAGGACCTGTAGGGAGCCAACACGGATCCGTTCATTGCTAGTGTCCAGCTTGGGCAGCAAGAAGGCAAGCAAGCGGTCAGGGGCAAAGCAGGCTGCAAAAAATTAAGGTCAAGCTGACCTGTCCTGTGTCCACCATGAGGAAACAAACATCCAAAGTGATCAGCATTGGCTATGCCACAGGGGAGACTCCAAGGGGCCATGTAGGTAGGGCACTGGACCATGGACCCAGCACACCAATGGCCGGCCTTTGTCACAGAACCACCAGAAGCCCCTGGAAACTTGGAGAGTAGGGATCCTCCATACACAAGCTTGGGGTTACAGAGCTCAGGACCCCACCAGTCCAGTAACACCTCCTCTCAAGAAGAGCCTGCTGGCCTGAGAACACAGTGGTCCTTCAGGCCAGGAGTGGAAAGACAGGGCCAGTGCTCCCCTCCTCCTGCCTTGGCTCTAGGCCAGCCTAAAGTTGAGGCTGAGCCCTGAGCCCAGCATGTCCTCATACTCCCCCAACCTGACCCCTGGATCAACTCACCCAGCACAGTGAAGCAGCGCAGCACCTCTTTCTGGTTGCTGACCACCAAGGGGCTGGATGACTCTACTGGAACACATATCTGCTCCGGGGGCAGAGAGAAGCGGTCACCACGGGCAGCTGGGGATCAGAGGCCTCCCCACTTTGGAATCCACACTTCACTTGTCCATTGGTGGGGAGGGAGATGGAGGGGCAGCCACAGAGCTGGCCTTCAAGTCAGGAGCTTCTGTGAAAGTTTTGTCCTCTATCTGCCCACCCCCACTCCCCCAAATCCAAAAGGATAAACTCGCAGCATCAGGATGGATGGTGAAGAGATTTGAGACTGTTCACAGCTTTAGTTTGCTTGGTTCCACACTCAACACTCTTGGCACCAGTAGCCAGAAAATTAAAAGACATATTGCGATGGGAAAGTCTGTTAGGAACCTTTCCAAAGCTCTGAAGAGCAATGGTGTCTCTCTGGAGACTAAGGCGTGTCTAATATAGGTCAAGGTCTTTGTAATCACCTGTTATGCATCAGAGAGTTGGACAATGACCAAGGAGGATAGAAGGAGAATTGATGCCTTTGAGCTGTGGTGCTGGAGAAGAGTATTGAGGGTACCATGGACTGCTAGGAAAACAAACAGATTCATCCTGGAGAGGCTTAAACCAGGCAGCTCCTTGGAGGCAAGGATTCTGAGGCTTCGTCTAACATACTTTGGACATATTGTAAGGAAGGACCAGTCCTTGGAGAAGGACATCATGCTTGGCAGGGTGGAGAGACAGCACAGGCGGGGAAGGCCCTCTATGAGGTGGATTGATTCAGTGACTGGGGTAATCGGGATGGGTGTATCGGAGACGGTGCGATTGGCACAGGACAGAGCAGAGTTTAGGGCTGTTGTACATAGGGTCGCTATGAGTCACAAGCGACTCAACGGCACATAACAACAACAATATCAAGTGGTAATGGTCCAACGAATGGCTGAAGTCCTCCCTGCTCCTGATCTTAAAGGGCTCACACCCAAAGTTCCCATTAATCAGGCTGTGGCGGGAGGGTGTGTACATAGAGTGTCCAGGGAAGGAAAAGTTCCTTTCTAATGTTAACTTGCTAAGACATTTTTATGAATAGGCTGTGAGCTTCATTACACTCTTTCCTGTATCCAGAGGTCAGAGGACTTTTTCCTTCATCTGTAACAAGGATAACATGTGCTGCAGCTTCTCGAAGCTGGACAAAGCTGCTATTTCCATGTTAAGCCTATCAGATCATATGTTTCGGATGCAGATACAGTTGGCAGTTACTTTTCATAAGATCTTTAAGTCTCCCATCAAAGTCACGCACTAGGTATTCTCAGAGAGTCCAGGCAGGGATCTGGAATGAAGGCTGGACTCACAAAACTTAGATGGCTCTGGATTTTTCTCTGATTCCCAAAGCAACTGTGAGTCTAGGAATGAACTATTTCCCCAAAGTTTAGCAAATTCCAACCATAAAATGATTTGGGGTTTGGGTGTGTTTTAAGAGGGGATAATCCTGGAGTATTTTTCCGTTTCTTGATCTGTTCAAGTTGTCTCTTTCTCCTCTCAACTTGGGCAAGTCTTGTTTTTCAAGAAGTCTTATCCATTTGATATAATTTTTCAGTTATGATGTAACTGTTCACAGTATCCCCTCCACCCCCGTCACAGTCCTTCCCCTTAGCAGGGACTAAGCTTGAGTCAAAGCTTGCTGCAGCAGGACAAAGATTAGGAGGCACAGCCCATGTCCTGGAAAGTCATCCTAGTGTCCTCTGTTTGGAAAGGGCTGGCAGGGCCAGAGGCCACTGCAGGAATAGTGCAAAGATACTAACTCCCACTATTTCTTCACAGCCTCCAGCCTCCTATTCTTTCCATTCTCCCTAGAAAGTCCAATCAGACCTCCATCCACACAGCTTACCCCACTGCCCTCTGGGAACTATGCCAGCAGCCACTCTCAGCCTCTTGGGCTCTGATCCTGCGCATATGTGCACACCCTGTAGTTATGTCTCCTCCTCAGCTCTTTTTCAGGTACATTCTCCATCCACCCCAGGTGCCCTAGGATGGTCCAGGACCTGACCTATGTGCACTGAGCCCTTCCTAGAGTGACCATCAGCTATGTCAGCACCTCCCAGCTGGCACCCTGGTGTCACAGACCCCTGTCCCTGTAAGTAGTCACTGCATCCCTTACTCACCCCAGCATCTCGTCACTGTACACACCTCTCCCTGCCCTGTCTGACTCTCCATCCCCTTACCCAGATGCTGTAGCAGCCTCCTGTCACACACTAGGGGGTGTCCCTCCAGGTTAGAGCCCACCAACAGGACTCACATCGTTCAGGGAGACTCTGCCTATTCTAGCCACATTGTCCTCCTTGCTGGTCCTCCGCCCTGCTGTTTTCCCATAGCCCAGAACCTATGATCAGATCCAGAAAGTGCTCCTCCTATCAAGACAAGAGCCCCCCAGTAGGTGGGCATCTGTTGTGTGGCATGAGAGAGATGGACCAATTGGGAGAGACTGGCAGAGAGACTCAATACAGAGTGAAGAACTAGAAAGGCTGAGCACTGCACACCGAAGCACAGCCATGTCTGAACAGTGCTTGTCCCACAGGCAGATCCACCCTGTCCTGTCCAGACGTCCAGGCTAAAGCCTCTGAGACAGGACCCAACACAGGCTGACCGGCCCTTCCTGCCGCCTTCCAGTGCTGGGTACCAAAGCTGCACTGCAGGCAGTGGCCCTGAGACACATGGTCACCCACTGCAGGCACTGGCAGGTCACAGAACACCTATTCAGTCCCAGGCTCCTTGAGGGTAAGATGCCATGGAAGGCCCCTTTCCCGCCCCAGCCCCAGCATACCTGGGCATGTAGGGCCCCCAGAAGCATGTCCAGCTGGCCCTCCAGTATGCGACTGCCCACGTTCACAGCTGCCTCCAAGATCTGGCCCAGACTCTAGTGGGGAGAATGCATCAGGAGGCTAGAACACAGGGACTGGAGGGGCTGACTCCTCAGCCCAGTGAGGAAGTTCTGGCTCCTCAAATTCAGAGAAGGGGAACAGGGCTCCTGTGACACCAGGATGTGCTGCTCCCCGCTCAGAGACATGCCCACCCCAAGATCCCTGCACCAGGCCAAACTCTTCCTACAAACAGACTCTGCCCAGGACCTCCTCCATCTGTACTCTGGGCTGAGCACTCTCTTCCCAGACCTCTTCCTTGCCCCACTCTGGGCCAAGTACCTTCTGCCCTTCTGACTCTGGCCTGAGTTCCCACACCCACTGTGGACCAAACCACCGTCCATCCCCCTGACTCTGAGCCAAATCTCCTGGCCCCAGCCCTGCCTAGCACAGACATGCACTCAGCGCACCTTGGACACAGGGAGGGTCTCAGCATGCTTTTTGTAGAGGGAAAGCACGCCTGGGACAAGCTTGGGCAGCTGCTCCTCCAGCCTCTCATTGGGCAGCAGGTGGCTCATGGGCCCCAGGGCCTCCACCACAGCTAACCGGAGCTGTTGGCAGATGGACATATGGACAGAAATCAGATCAGGACACATCAGACTGGAAGTGCCAGGTAGAGGGAGTGAATCAGTACTGGGTGACCATTAGTTACCATAGGTGAACAGGTGGTACTCATAGGTGACCACCAATGTACTACAGGGTGACTGGCGTGACCTCGGAGTGACTGCAGCAGGAGGCCACAGTGCTGCTGTCAGGTAGAGGCAAGGTGAGATGTGTGTTCGAGCCATCCCACTGTGTCCCCCAAGAAAGCACTATGACACTCATGATAGGAATACCAGCTGTTCAGAACAACTGGGGGTCAAGAGCTGCTCAGACACCACACAACTGTGGTGACCTCCAGGTGAGACACCTGAAAGATGTTAAGAGCATCTGTCTAACATTCAGATTAGACAACACACAGGGCAGGGATGCTCAAGTGCCGCACTCTGCATGGGTGAGGACTGATGGTGAGACAACATAAAAGCCCACCTCCTGAGCACTCTGGCCTGGAGTCCTGGGAAGGACAGGTGGAGCTGTGGCCCCAAGATCCCACCCTTGGGGGACACTTAGGGCACTGAGGAGAGAAAGACTTAGGATGTGCACAGGGTAGGAGGAAATGCTAAACATGAGGGAGGCAGACCTTGGCTTCACGACTCTGCAGCCAGTGGTTGAAGAACACATCATAAGCAATGAAGATCTCAGAGGAGAAGGTGTCCTTCCTGACCGTGGGGTCTGGCGCCTGGTCCAGGTTGGCCAGGTACTCCAGGGTGCTCTCGCTGAAGTGCTGCAGGGCTACAATGACCAGTGTAGGTAGCAGGGAACCTCACAAGGCAGGAGCAGTGCCCAAGGGAGACAGGCCATGCTGATGGTCAGGGCCATCACTACATATCAGGCTTTGCAGCTGAAGAGCAGACTCTGGGGCTGCTAGTGTTCAGGAGCAGAGGGCCAGGGTTCCCTCCTCCCTACCATTCTCCCCTCCTCCCCACCATTCTCCCTTCCTCCCCACCATTCTTCCCACCTCCCCAGAGCCTGATGCCTTGGGTAGTGGAGAGGCAAAGATGCCCTAGGAGGAAGTGGAGGCAGAGATGAGGGGTACAAGGAGTCTCACCAGAGCAGAACACCACCCGTAAGGCATCCTGCTTGGCCATGGGCAGCATGGGCAGCATGGTGCCTAGGATGGAGGGCAGGAAGGGCACCATGCCAAACACTGCAAGCGGGAGAGGCCTGTCAGGCTGAACGCTCCACCGCCTGCCCTGGCTCTCAACATTCAGAATGTGGGAGGGCAGGAGAGGGCTGAGAGTGGGAGGTGCTGAGGGCAGGGGAGAGTCAAAGGGGTGGCCAAGGGCAGGGGATGGCCAAGGCCCTACCATTGGACGTGGCAAGATTGGCCAGTGTCTGCACCACGAAGTGGTGGGGCAGCAGGCCCGGCTGGAACTGATTCAGCAACTCCTCCATCACAGCGTTGATGAACCGGGTGCCCACTGCCACGAGGACACTGCTTGAGGCCTGCTGCCAGTCAGGGACCAGGTCCTACACACAGAGCGGGCAGAGGTGATGGAGGCCAGGTGCCCTCCCACGGAGAGCTGCCCGCAGTGCCTAATCTGCCTGGATTTCTCTGCTCAGCCCAGGCCGGCTGCTGGGAAGTCCAGGAGGGAGCAGGCTCACCTTTGCCTTGGTCATCTCTCTGGTGGCCATCAGGATGAGGGCCCTTGCTGTGTCCTTGTCCAAGCTACTGATGTGAGTGCTCACGACGGCCTCCATAGCCTTCAGGATCAGGGCTCGGTATGGGTGGGCCAGCTGCAGGGCAATGCCGTGAGGCCTGGGCACTGTGACCAGCCACCTCCCAAGGAGCCCATCTGGCACAGACATACCTTCTCGTGCTGTCCCAGGTACTCTGCACAGGTGCCCAGCATCACCTCCGGCTGGGCCTCACCCAGGGTGCACAGGGCACTGCACACCTGCTCTTGCACTTGCGGGTCCTTGTCTGTCACTGCATCCATCAAGGTGGTACACAGCTCTGCCAGAGGACAGACACTTAGGCCATGCACTGTCCACACACACGTGAGGCAAGCAGAGTCCACCATGCACTGTCCACACAAAAATGGGGGAAGCAGAGTCCACCACGCATGATCCACACATACGTGAGGGAAATGTCCACCACGCGCTGTCAAGGTGGTACACAGCTCTGCCAGAGGACAGACACTTAGGCCATGCACTGTCCACACACACATGAGGCAAGCAGAGTCAACCATGCACTGTCCACACAAAAATGAGGGAAGCAGAGTCCCCCATGCACTGTTTTGTTTACAAGTGTGGAACAAGCATGGTGTGCATGTGCACCTTGTGGCCACTCATTGCCACTGGCACCAGGTTCTCCCAGACATCGTTCGTTTTGTCTTGATGCACCCCAAGGTTAGGGGCCAGGAATGCCTGGACCCACAGCCCATGTGCAGGGTTACCATGAGGACAGCCCAGGACTCACTCTTCATGTACAACTCAGCCATGTCCGCAGCTGTGGCTCCCTTGGGCCTGCAGGACGAGACGCCTACATCCACAGCTGTGGGGTGTACGTGCTAGACAATGCCTTCACCAACCACTGTGCTCCTGAGAAGGGGACAGCACCACATTCTGCGCAGCACCACTCCGAGGACCTGAGACTGTGCTGCCACTCCCTCAGGAATGTGGCGTCCACTGGGTCACGAACAAGAACTCCGTTGTAGGCAGCTCCAGCCACAGTCTAGGAACAACATGTCTGCCTGCCTCGGAGCACCGTCCTCTTCTCTCTGCAGATGAGAGTGCACCTTGCTCCATCTGCACAGGTGTCAATACCTCCCCTTAGCACCAACAACAGGACCACCCGCCCACACGTCCTGCCCCTTAGGAACGGCACACAGGGGCCAATAGAGAAACATCACACCAGGGACTGCTGGGGCACCATGCCCCAGGCCACAGAGATGCAGAGAGCAACTGCTCAAAGAACCAACTGCCCCACCCTGCAACCCAACTCTATACCTGCACCCCCCCCCACTCCCATGGCCTCACTGGCCACACCATCCTCCCTATCCAGTAGGACACACTGGGTAGCTCCAGGAGGGATGTTGTTGTTGTTGTTATGTGCCGTCGAGTCGCCTGCGACTCATAGCGACCCTATGTACAACAACAGCCCTAAACTCCGCTCTGTCCTGTGCCAATCGCACTGTCTCTGAC